GCCTCCTCCCCACACACTCCCATCCCCAGGCTGCATTGTGCCCTGGAATGCCCCAGCTGTAGCGGTTTGGAAACCAGTTCCCAGTGTTTTAGGGAGGCAGCCGTGTGGGTCTGTTTTAGCAAAAAGAGTGAGGAATCCTGAGGGGCCTCTAGGGATGTTAAATTTAGTTTAATCAACTAATTAACTGGTTGATAAGCAGGGGAGCCTCCCCACACACTCCCATCCCCAGGCTGCATTGTGCCCTGGAATGCCCCAGCTGTAGCGGTTTGGAAACCAGTTCCCAGTGTTTTAGGGAGGCAGCCGTGTGGGTCTGTTTTAGCAAAAAGAGTGAGGAATCCTGAGGGGCCTCTAGGGATGTTAAATTTAGTTTAATCAACTAATTAACTGGTTGATAAGCAGGGGAGTTGTAGTGGGGTTAGTTCCTGGCCTCGCTGCAGCTCTGCCTCTTAAATATATTTAGAGTGGGGGGTGGGGGAGACACTCCCAAGATTTTGGAAAGGGGTCGAGGGCCATACTCTTCCATGGTATTAATGGAGGAGATGTGGGGTCTGGGCTGGAGGTAAGGAGCAGAAGGGAGGCTGGGATAAAGGATTGGGGTACAGCAGGAGAATGGCATCTGAGAGGGAGTTTGGGTGAAGGTGGTTGTGAACTGGGTCAGGGAACTGGGTGCAGGCTTTTGGGATGTGACCTAGGATAGGAGGGGATTGTGTTCTCCAGCAGGAGATGAGGTGCCAGATCTGGGAGGGGGTATGGGTGAATGTGGAGTAGAGGGGCAAGAGTGTGGGGCAGAGAGTTGGGGAAGGAAGGGACTGCCGTGCTAGAGGCAGGTTCTCACCAGAAGTCTTACCAGCCTGCCTGCAGAGCTAAAGGCTTGCAGAGCTTAAATTGTTTGCCTGCTCCACCATGTGCTTGATTGAGTGAGCAGGAGGGTTGTGCTTCGTGGTTGCCTGTTATTCAAATAGGCAGCTCCCATTGGCCAGTGTCTGTGCAGAAACTTGACAATGAGATTGTGTTGGGGGCAGGAGCAGCGTCTGAATCTTCCCTTTTCCCCTCCAGACTTAACAGAGAAAGTGCCCCGCAGCTGCATTTCTGAGCTGTGTGGGGGGCTGCAGGGCAAGTAGGGGAGCCTGCCTGGGGCTCCCCACTGCCTCTGTGGTCTGGATCTGGTGGCTTGGCAGGCCAGATGCAGACTGCGGGCCGTGTTTTGCCCAGCCCTGATTAAGAGCTATGTCTGGGGAGTCCCCAGCCACCCTGCTCTTTATTCCTCTTTATAAGAAGCAGTAGCGTGGGGTGGCAAGTGAGAGCCACTCTGCGAAGAGAGCCAGTCTAAAAGAGGTAGCAGTCTGGGAGAGGGCTGGAAGGTGGAGCCAGTGCTTGTGGCTTGTGGCAGGTGGAGCCAGTGCTGATACAGAGGCAGCAGAGGTGGGTAATGCATGTAGTTGACAGGATTAATGGATTAAATCCGGCTTATTAGTTAATTGTGTAGTTGTCTTCAGGTTGACATCCCTAAAAACAACCTTAAATGTGCTGGATACCTGAGGGAAAAAGAAAATAAGTTTATTAAAACATGCTTGCATTTAAAACTAACTGATATATGAAACAAAGTAGTTAGGGAAACAAAATAATTGTTTCTGGTTACCAGATGCTTCAAGATTTTAGAACTAGTAAATTGTATCCTCACACCTCTCTCACCTCATTTTTATTTATGGTTTGGAAAAGGAAAACAATTGTTCCTGCTTTTTTCAAATCTCACTGGTTTTTTCAATTTTGAATTAGCTTGTCATTAAAATGAACTAGTTGAATAAACTGAATTGAAGGAAGAACCTGCAGGAGAGACTACTGCTTTCAAAAGATGACTTAGCACTTCAGCAGGCTCTGGTTCCATGCACTTAGCCAGTGACTTCCACTAGTTCAGTGGGTTGACATTCTTTAAAACTTTTGGCACCAAATATCTTTGAATATTTTTGTTTAATTTAAATTACTTCAATAGATTGTAATAAGTTTAGGCGATATGATTGACATAATTTCAAATCTAATTTAAATAGGTTAATTTTTTAAAAGAAAAATATTTAATTTACATTAAAAACCACTTTAAATAAAACATCAGATTTTTTTATTTCAAATAATTGATTTTTCCACCCTTGTTTTCATGCCAGACTAGCTGTCCTTCAATTTTGTGATTATTTGGAGAATGGGAAGGTTTTTTTCAAATTAGCATATTGGGTTAGTTACTGGAGGACAACCTTTTTAGCTGAGATTTAAAAGCCAGTGTCTTGTGTATTGTGTGTTGTGACAAATGCTTTAATGGCATGTTTCATGAATAATTTTGCCTCCATGTACTTAGCCAAAATATCGCTGCTCCTTTTTACTGTATTGGGTACCATGTGTAGAATACAAACTTTCTTCTATCCCAGAAGTGGCTGGCTTTAGTCACTGTTAGATTTTTTTGGGGGGGGGGGGGGGGCCCTGTTTTTTT